GGTAAAGGGACGATGGAGGAAGTGGTCTGTCTCTTGCTGCATGTGTGTGAGCTTCTGTTTGTAGACATGTCCTACTTTGTCTTGCAGCAAGTTGACCGCAAGACAAAAAGGAGTCCTTAAAAAAACTAAAAGATGAAGAGCATTTTCTAAAGATTGTCTTACATTTGTACAGAAGCCCTTAAAGGCAGGGTTGGTCATTTTCTCCAGATTCACTTTTTTCAGATTTTAGTTGAAATTGTCTTTAGGTCCATGCAGACAGAAATTAATAACTCATGTGCTCTGAAAAAGGAATGATCAAAATCCGTCATCTGTATCAGTTGTAAGCCTGTAAAAACTTCGACCAATGTCTGCCACGAGGTACCAATCTGATGAACCAATCACTCGCCTCCCTGTCTCCCTGCTCGTTCTCTACCCCATGCATGCACAAGCCCACACTCAAATCATGAGCTGAGATCCGCTTCTGGACCAATGGCACTTGTGCATGTAAGTGAGGGGTGTGGCTTTTGAGGGTGCACAGAGGGGAGGGGGTGGGTGCAGACGAAGAGGGAATGCTACTTTCAAAATACACACCTGAAAATGATCGTTATCACAGGAAAAGGCAGTATGTAAAAAGTATGGACTTGTGTCTGCTTAGGGCTTCTGTACTTGTAGAACAGCAGTTTTTGAAGTCATTACTACAACTGTGGTGAATCTCATTCTAAGTCGTTGTTGTCGGGATGATCTGCTTTATATGTGCTAATAACACGTTCTTATTCCCATTGCAGGCCACCTCAGGATCGTCCTCCAAGCTCATTGCAGGTAAATCGCAGCACTTTTTGTGCTGTTTTTTTTTTCTTACTCCATAATCCACATCAGACTAATGATGACTTATCCTCCTCACAGATGTGAACTCTCCCACTGAGAGGCCCAGCGATGTTCTTCCTTCCAAACCTGTCGCACATCTGACAGGTGAGATTGCTGTTTATTTTCCTTCCATATCCACAGAGTTCAAACAAGGATTCTTACATTTTATTGTATCTTTTGGAATGTAATGACAGTTCCCAGTGTGTGATAACGATCAGTGAAAATAAAATGTGGTCTTTAAATAAAGACCACATTTAAACTTCAAAAGAATCTGGTTTCATTTTGTTGCTGTTTTTTCTTCCCAGGTGGACAGGATGTAGTTCATAAGAGTCACATCATGGCATGGAGCATTAACGCAGACCCAACCCTTTATGAGATGGACTACAAAGACAGATGTCTTGTCTTTCAGAAGGAGGGTTATTACCACGTCTACTCCAAGGTTTACTTTTTCAGCAGTGAGCCATTCGAACACTCCATTCATTGGAGAACCAAACGGTACAAAGGGAAAAGTATTCCCCTCCTCTCCTCCACAACACACCCGGAATCCTCCCACAGGAAGAAGGGCAGATATCACAGTTTTAACAGTGATCAGAAATCCAACAGTTACCTGGGCGGAGTGTTTCACTTCTACAAAGATGACGCCATTTTTGTTCATGTGAGCAACTCCTCTCAAATAGTGAGATCGAAACCCTTTGAGAACATCTTTGGTGCATTTATGATATAAATGTTAAACTGATATCTCAAAAACAGATCTAAGAATGTTACGTTAAGAAATAATAAAGAAAAAGGGCGGGGGGATAAAATGTCTCAAGGATGAAAGATTCTCTCTGAAATAAAAAAGGGTCAGCTACAGGAAACAGAAGCAGGTGTGAAACATGCTTCTTTAGTTGGCAGGTCACGGCTGCTTGTGGCTTTCATGAGGTGAGGGGAAACTTTGACATTTTTATCAGGCTTGAGGTGTGACATAATTCCACACTGCATTCTCACATCAGGGACTTTCTATCTGCTTTCTTGTGTACTTTGAATGTTACACAAAATACTTTTATACACTCCTCAGTCTCTCTGATCATCGTATTGTTGAGTACAACATATACAGTTCAATCTGAAACCATGCACATTCCTTTTCATTCTTGCTGTAACACATAATCCATATATTTATTTATTCCTCTATGATTAAACTGCTTAATCTACTCTATTTATGTACAACAATAATAATGTATAAAAAAAGAACATTCAAATAAACTGATGTTGGGTTTGAAAGTCGTGTCGGCTGGTTTTCTCAGGCCTTTCTGCAGGTGTCACGTAGCTGAAGTGAGCTACTGTATGTGTGTGCACTTCCTGCTGAGTCAGCTGAGGATTGCTGTGGAGGCTTTGCAAAGTGGTCTCAGCGGCAGCAGCAACTTTTTTCACCCACACAACATACAGTATAATCCATGAAGTATTTCAAGATGACTCCAGTGTAATAAAAAACCTTGCTTTAGGTTAAAGTGTCAACCTTCTTTTATCAGAATGTGTAAATACTGGTTAAAGGTATAACTTTTATTACTAATGTACTTCTTCTGAGGGTATTTACTTACTCTTTTATTTATTTCAATTTTTGAATAATCTTGTTTTTTGAACTCCATCCCCATGGTAACAAGCTTGATAAGATGCTTGTACAGGCAACAAGTTTAAGGCTTCATCTTCTTACTTGTAATTCTCATGTAATCATTGTTACACCTTCCCCGCAGAGCATGTGTCTGTTCGGAGAAGCCGCTTTGAAAACACCCACGGACTTGTGTATTTGTAAACTGCGAGGAAAGTGTTTAAGGGGGGGGTTTGCTGGTGGGGAGGGGGTGTCAGAAGCAGATTCACTGACTCACTTTCCAACCCCAGACCCTGAGAGCAATGGTTGACAAAAGAAAAAGTTCTGTCACATGACTGTATGTGTGTGTGTGTGTGTGTGTGTGTGTGTGTGTGTGTGTGTGCGCAAACAGGGTGGTGTAGGAAATGTTTTTCACACCACTGTTCTGTCACAGGACTTAATGTGTATGTGTGTGTGTGTGTGTGTGTGTGTGTGTGTGTGTGTGTGTGTGTCTGTGTGTGTGTGTGTGTACTTAAGTGTATATGTCTGTATGTGTGCGTGTGTGTGTGTGTGTGTGTGTGTGTGTGTGTGTGTGCAAATAGGTTGGTGTAGGAAATGTTTTTCTCACCACTGTTCTGTCACAGGACTTTATGTGTATATGTCTGTGGGTGGGTGCGTGTGTGTGTATTTGTTTTATTGTGTGTGTGTGAGTGTGTTGTTTTGTGTGTGTGTCTGTGTGTGTGTGTGTGTGTATGTATGTATGTGTGTGTGTGTATTTGTTTTTTGTGTGTGTGTGTGTGAGTGTGTTGCTATGTGTGTGTGTGTGTGTGTGTGTGTGTGTGCGTGCGTGTGTGTGTGTGTATTTATGTGTGTGTGTGTGTATGTATGTATGTGTGTGTGTGTGTGTGTATGTGTGTGTGTGTGGGTGTGTGTATTTGTTTTATTGTGTGTGTGTGAGTGTGTGTGTGTATTTATGTGTGTGTGTGTGTGTATGTATGTATGTGTGTGTGTGTGTGTGTGGGTGTGTGTATTTGTTTTTTTTGTGTGTGTGTGTGTGCGTGTGTGTGTGTTTGTGTGTGTGTGTGTGTGCGTGTATTTGTTTTTGTGTGTGTGTGTGTGTGTGTGTGTGTGCGTGCGTGTGTGTGTATTTATGTGTGTGTGTGTGTGTGTATGTGTGTGTGTGTGTGTGTGTGTGTGTGTGTGTGTGTGTGTGTGTGTGTGTGTGTGTGTGTGTGTGTGTGTGTGTGTGTGTGTGTGTGTGTGTGTAAACAGGTTGGTGGGATAAGGTTTTCTCTCTACTGTAACGTTAAGCAACTATTGGGCAACTATATAAATTAAGATTGATCGACTGAAAAGAGAACTTCTAGTTTTTTTTTCCCTCCAGCATGAGTTACGAGTATTGTTCAGATCTGTAAAACACTGTTTCAGTACTTCCTCATGCATGTGTGAGACACTCTCTTTCCAGCCCTGTCTGACCCGTGAGCTGTGACAAAATGAAGTTACACGTACACGTAGTCAGAAGGAAGCTTTAACAGCTCACTTCCACATACAGTATACAAACAACATTTTCCATTGATGATGAAGAACAGGGTTTCTTTAAGGGTACAGGCTGTTTTCCTGCCATGAAGCCTAGAGCGATGTGTTTCAGTAAAGCAAAACTGAAAGTTGGTCATGATAATGGCACACAGTCCACCACAGCGAAATACTGTCACCTTGTGTTGGACTCAATAGCAGATGAGAACACTGAAAAAAAGAAAATCAGATCATTCAAACCTTTTCTGTACACACACTTTTTATGTTTTGACATTTTTATTCATGGTATAAACTCTAGTGGCTGGCTTCAAGCATATTCCAGAAAACACCAATTATCAGCCTGTCACTTGACAAGAAAAAGAAAGCCTTGAAAGTGCATGATATTCTTTGACTACACATTTTGAAATGCGTCTGAAAAGCTCAGTGACGCTTTGGCTGAAAAAACAGGATGAGGCTTTTCAGATCTTAGTACTCATTCACAACTCTTGCACATTGGGAAGTGGAAAGCAACAGTATAGGAACATGCAAATGCCTTTGATGAATGAGACAGAGTGGGTGGTATGTGGGTATGTCTGTGCCCTATATTGGATCTCACTTCAGATTAATCAAAACTTGCGGTTGCAACAGCTAATACATGGAGCAACAAGTGCTTGGGTTTCAGAGGTTTGGAAAATAAATGTTTCTGATGAAATCTCATTAAAACAGATTGAAAATGTGTCATGGTACTAATGACTAATATGTTCCCATGACCTTTTGTTTGTTTTAACCCTATTGTTGCTGTGTAGATCAGTAGATGTGATCTTTCATTCATTTTTCTTTTGCTTTGTCAGAGTCTGAAGATACAGTTCTTCGACAGCATTCTGCAGGGAGGGTCCCACTGCTTCCTATTATTAGTGACTCATCATCGTCAGGGTCCCACTGTTAACTCATGACCTCTCACTTTCACTTTTAACCGGGGTCTCTGAAGTGACTCACTAACAAGTAGTACTCATCCGTCATCATAATTTCATTTGGAACCCAATAAACAAAACAAACGTCAGAAGACAATATAGCTCTTATTTATTTCATGTTTATTTGTATAGGGATGAATATGCAACAAGTAAACTGATGCCACACACTACAGCATTAGCACTAAGCTAATTTTCAATGCCCGTCCCTTTAATCTCAACTTTGTTACATTCGTTCTTAAATGCTAACAGCGGTGTAAATGTAAAGTCCCACATTTTAAAGCTCCAAAAACTAATGCAATATGTTTTTGAATGTGTAGTAAGACGATAGTACACACATCATTAGAGGAACAAGCACTTCCTCATTTGTTGAAAAAAAGAAAAAGCAAACAAACAGAAAATCATTGACAAAACCAAATGTCTCTTTCAACATCTCCAAACATATGAAACCTTTCTAAATAAACCACCACAAGTCATGATTTCACGTCTCGTAACACGTCACACAGGTAGTGAAGCAGATGCAGTATGTTGGCTGGTTATTTCTGTCGCCCTTCTTTTTCGCTTTCCCTTAACATTCAGAAAATGAGAAGAGAAAACAAAGTGTGGTGCAAGCTTGTTTGAACACGATCAAAACATGGATTCACTTTCTTTATAGAGATAGTTAAAGAAATTCCATAAAAGCATGTCTAAACAACAAAAACAAAACAACAACACAGTTTTGTTCTTTTCTAAAAAAAAAAAATACATGGACCGACATTTTTGTTGAGTTTCATCAGTATTAGCTTCATATTATTGCAACAATGAATAAAGAAAAGGCACTCATTCAATTGACCCCCCCCCCACACAAACACATTCATTGCCACACAGTGACGTACATTCCCTGTTCAATAAATTGCCTTACTATGAAATAATATATAAATAAACAAAACAATAAAGATAATAAAAAAAAATACATCATGCACACATATTGTACAGTGTATATATAGTTGTGGTCCAAACAATAAATTAACACAACATAGATGCTTCAAAACATGTCAAGAAATAAATCAGCAAATAAGAGTTGTGCAAATCACATAGAACTGGACTTAAATACATTCTCTGTGTTCACTCAATACAAATTTAAAATGTAAGAAACTCAGACAACATCACCAAGAAGTTCAAACAATCAAGTAAGATCTGTTCACTCTGAATACTGATTTTATAGACCGCGGATGTGCTCTCTAATCACTGATATCTGAGAAGCAATGAAAACAACATTTACAGTAGAGGGGAGGGGGGGGGGAATCCCCCAAAACCAATAGTATGCTAGCTGGTATTTCATTAGTTCTGTACAAGTGAGTTTTGAGTTTGACTTGAAATCAGAACAAATAAGCACCGGGCACAAGAAACAGATTTGTAGTGATGCTGTCAACTTTAGTCCAATCCTGAGCTGCTATGTATACAGTATACTGGCCTTATCATTTGGGCTCTTGAAGTAATGTGAATTGTGTTTAAAGGTGGATTTAAAGTCTTTGCAGAATTGAATAGAATGTTTTTTGTTTTTTTATCCAGCCTGTGGGTAAAAGACAGTCCTTATTGTTGACTTCAGCCCTTCAAGCGTTTTCTTTGAATCAGGCACTGCTCTGACTGCATGAAGTTGGTTAAGTGATCGACTCATCTTATGATGTAAAGATGAAGGCAGAGGTCTGTTTGGTGACAGGAGAACCTGGAGAAGACGCTGCCATCATAACATCTGAACACACTTCAGGATTAAGACGAGATGTAAATGATATCAAGGTGGGTAAGAGATTCCTTTTCGTCCACCATAAACGTGGAAGTGGCTTCCACGTCTATGGTGACCTTATGATAGTCTGAGGAGAGCTTTGTTGCCCTGGCGAGGAAGCCTGTGCACGTGTCTGTGCTAATCCGGCCCTCCAAAAGAGCGTTGGACTTAGATCCATTCGACAATGTCATATTGACTTTGACATATTCACCTTTAGAGAACTGAATTGTATTACAATCCTTCAAGGTAACCTGAAGACTTAGGAAGTAGTATCCATCCCTATCTATGGTTAGGACGTCCTCTTGTACTGAGATCAGGCCTTCACTTGGATTGTTTGATCGCCATTTCATTCTTCTGTTACCTGCGGGTGAAAGGAAAACTGCTATTAGCTGCAAATTGTCTTTACTCACAAATCAATTATGTGAGAGATCAACTGGATCTCTGAACTCGGCAGGCTGCTTGGGGTTATCTGATTAAGGAAGAATGTGCGACTTTTTGATCCAGTAGATGTGGCCCTTGAGCACCAGCACTAAACCAAAAACAAACTGCTGTTTGTTGACACCTCCGCTATTCTGAAGCCTCTGCTCTCCTCCAGCAACACACCTCCAACCCCTCTCCACCCGTGTTCGCACGAAGGAGTTATGAATTAGAACGCATCATAATTAAGCACCATTAAGCGCAAGCAGAGGACAAAACAATTGCCTGTGGCCTGCATGTGTGTTAGCAGGTGAATGTTAGCACACTTTAGTTAGCTCCTAGCTTCACGTTGCAGATAAATGGACATAAAATCACCGTGATCTAAATACACGAGCGTGACATCCAAATAAGCAGTGAGTATGTTTTTTTCTTGTCTCTAGTTCTTCACTAAAACAGCTTTATATGCAAGGTCGTCCTGGCCATGTAAACATGATGTAAACACGGCTCCGACAACAGTCCAGCCGGTGGGACTCACTCATTGGAAATGTCTCTCTGAGTCCTGACTCTCTACAGAGGATATACTGGATTTCTGCTTTATTGATGTGTAAAATGTCGCACATTCTTCCTTTAAGCAAAAAACCCAGGACTGATGTAGTGTGCAGACCTGTAATGTATGGAGCTATCACATCTTGGTATAATTGACCAGTTATCAGAGCAGCCAATGGGGATATGAACAAAAGGAATGCGTTATTTTAAACTGCAATTAGAGTCTTTTTTTTTTTATTGACATCTGCAAGTGAATTGGCAAAGATGTGAGGAGATTTGTGGTTACTGAAATTCCATGTGTCTCTCTGTACTTATCACGGCTTATAATTGAAGACCAGACTCACACATTAACTGCCTCAAGTCACACATACCTCCTCCAATACTCATGAAGGTGAGCATTTTGCCCTTTCCCAGTTGATGCTCATTCTCTGAAGGACTCTGAAAGGAAGGAAATGACATATTCATCTCAAACTATTCAAACATATTTTTACATTTGATGTGCTGGCGTGGCGTCCACTGTGACACACAGACCAGCTGCATGGTTCGGTCACAGCTTTGTAAAAGGGCAATGACGCTGATAATATGTACATTTTTAGAAAGAGAAGGTAAAACAACTTCTATCTTAAGGGGGGGAAAATGAAGGAAAAACAGTTTAGTGCAGTTGCATTTCCCCGAATGTGGTGATGACGTTAATGTGCTTCCTCTGTGACGTGAGGAGAGTAACCACTCTGTCTGATTCAAGATATTCTTGAATCATGAACAGACAAACATTTAAGAACCTTTCCCTCACTAAGAACTCTGTGCTGTCAAACCTGAACAGTGCTGTGAAGACGAATTGCCCAAATGTGACATTAAAGTCTAAGTCTACTCGTGCGATTAGAACAACACAGTGAGGTTAAAACAGGAGAACCACAAACTCTGAAGCTGTGGTGTACTTACCAAATGTGCATTGTTTGACTTCATTAGCTTTGCGGATTCTGATGCTACAGCGCTACAGTTCTGAGACTGGAGAAGGAATCACAAGCACAGAGTATACTCTTAATGAATTGTACAAAGAAAAAGTGTTGCTCAATGAAGGTCAGAAGAACTGTAATTAAGCAAAGCAACTGCAATTAAGCCATTAAAAATTCTCTCATGGTTTACAGGCATTCACAGCTAAACACTTTGATTAATATTGTACCATAATGCTGGATATATTCAATGATTCTTTTGGCTGAAGATGAATCGAAAACAACATTTCTTTTTGTCAAGTTCTTACAAAACTTTTCACTGTTTGGGAGTCAAGAAAGGGTAGCGCAGACCACAGGCTGGGGTGTCTTTCTCACCAGCTGTGCTACTGCCGAAACCACATGAAAGAACAGATGCACTGCACAGGTGTTTTACTTCAGCGGTGCTGACATTTATCCTGTAGTACTCTGTTAATCCATCCGAAATGTGACAGTGCTACGGCAAAAGCTGCTTTTCGTCTTGAAAAATGTGGAGTTTGGGTATCAAATGTGAATTCTCACCCTGTCATGAGGTCCAACTGTGAAGAAGATGGTGATGAAGACAATCTGGACGATGGAGAGGAGGGTGAGCCAAAGCAGGAGGACTTTGGTGAGCGGATGCTGTGCAGGCTGTGGCATCGTCGGTCCGTAAGGCCGAGCTCAGAGCAGCCCGAGCCTGAAGAGTGCAGGAAGACAGACGTCAAGAGCTGATGATGACAGTACACGTCCTGAGTTTCTTCTGCTGAACAACAAAGCTGTATGTGTGTGTGTGTGTGTGTGTGTGTGTGTGTGTTTGCTTCCTGAGCTCAATGTGTGCATGTGATGAGGGAGTTTTGATATCTGTCTGCGTTCTGATGTACCCTGAGTATCTATAGAGAAAACAGGACTCCAGGTGGTACTTCCCCCCTGTTTGTTAGAGAACTCAAATGAAGAAGGGCCAGGTTATATCTGCATCTTGGGACTGGCCCTTCTCTCCTACTCACTTTAACTCACACTAAAGAGAGGAACAAAAGTCACTCGGAAGGACGAAAGGAAGGAGTGAAGACATATGACAGAAAGTCATTCCAAAATGAATCATTCAGTTCCTTATTTATGATTAGACTTGATGGCGAGTGTCACATACCCTACGTATATTACCCTTTCTGACATAAGATGTTTGAGCAACATTGAAAGTCTTTGCCTTGCTGTTTTTGATCCAATTTCTACCTTTTGCCTCTTTATTGTATTAAACATAGTATTCTACAATGGTGATGAAAACTACTCCTTACCTACAATGTAAATATTGTAGGTAAGGGCTGATAAGAACAAGTAAGAAAGCCCCTTAACTCAATCATTCAACATCAAATCATGATGGTATTAACATGGAACCCATTATCTTTTTTAATCATTTTCTGTAAAAGCTTATCTCTTCCTAGAAGTACCTTGAAAATTCCACATTGGCAACCAACTTTCCCTTTTTGCTCTGCTGTGCAATTCAATATTTCTCTGTGAATCCAAACCTGACAAGAGATTAGAGCATAGACGTTGGAGGAAACGCATCAGACAAAACAAAATGTCACGGTGGATTTTTAAGTGGTATACACAAAATGTCACAATGTCTTGTTTACTATATGCATTTCTTGAAAATTGTCACCTCCAGAGACATTGGTATTGAGGTCAGTGAACGTGGTTTCACTTTCTGTCTTTGTGTGAGCTACTTCTACAGCCTGGGGAAAGTTTAATGCTGGTTGGGCTATGCTTCAGGTATGTGTCAAAAAGATACCTGTATGACTGGCAGTGGTCACACAAGCACACAACAACAAACAACATGTCCACACTTGTTCTTGAATCTAAAACACAGGAGGTGTAAAACTGCATGTGCACTGCTGGAAAATAAAAATTGTAACTTAGTTAAATAATAGCAGAGAGAACAAATCACTTTAAATTGGGGGAACAAAAAAAAGCTGAAGTGCAGTTTTTGAGAGTCAGCATTAAATAGTGCGTGATATACAGTAAGGTGTTTCTACCCTGTGATGACAGAGAGATGGAAATAAAACTGCTACACCAATATTAGTACATTACTTCTGCTTTTCCAGTTGACGCACTGCTTTCTGAACAGATAAGGCAAATTATTTAACCTTTCATGAATCATAGTTTCATTCAAGACACAGAGAAAACATGATCATGAAAAGGATTTCAACAGAATAGAATAGAAATGAATATGCCTTTATTGTATTGCACATTGTTCTCAGCAGAATTCTGTTCAACATGAGTCTAGTTGTGCTCGAGGTTCTTTGCCTGTTAGAAGGACGTTTTTCCTTGCCACTGTAACTTTACTAAATGTTTCTTTAGTGCTGTGCTCATGATGGGTTCAAATTATTCAAAATACTTCAATTAGTATTAAGACAGTAATAGACAGTAATCTGGTGCATTGAGTGCAGTTTTCGATGTTATAGAACCTTTTTATATTATTGCACTATATTATTTTATATTATTAATATTGCACACTGCACCAGAAATAAGATTGTAAGTTAAATATTATGCAGCATGCATTTTTGTACATTAAATGTCATGCACCATAAAACAAGTATTGCACATTAAACGCTGAAATCATTGTACATTTATTGCACATCCAATGTTATGGACCATGCTCACATTGTCAACTGTGAGTCTAAGCGCTTTTATTGGGAGATAGTGGTGGTGGTGGTTGTTGTGGTGGTGGGGGCTCGGGGGGAGGGGGGATTGTTGGCAGTGTTTCTGTCAGGTTCAAGTGTTTAAACCTTGATGTGCCGGTCTTGAGGGCCCAGAAACGTCTTCTCGGTGGCAGCAGAGAGAACGTAGGTGGTTGTACGAACTTTGTTACATCCATCCTGCAGCTGAAGGTGTCCTCCAGTGAGAGCAGTGGGAGTCCCAATTAATTTTTGTGCTTTGTTAATGACACTCTGGAGAGCCTTTTTGTCTGCTGCTGAGCAAGTTGGCATACCAAGCTGCAACACAGTATGTCTGTGCACTTTCTATTAAGCAGTGGAAGAGAGATAAAAGCTGTTGCAATGGAGTTGCTTTTGTCCAGCAGCGGAGATGATTGTCCTTGAGAGGTCCTTTGTTTTTTGTATTCCTATGAATTTGAGGTCTCTCCTATTCCTTTGATGTAAAGAAGAGAGAGGCCTTCCTGATTTCTCCTGAGATCAATCATCAGATTTTTTTTAAAAAAATTTTTTGTTCAGTGACAGGCTAATGTACTTGCACCTTGCAGCCAGTTTTCAGCCCTCATCTTTTTAGGCTGACTTGTCCCCCTCTGAGATCAGTCCCACCACTGTTGTCTCATCTTCATACTTGATGAGGATGTTTAACGGGTGTAATTAAATGTATTCGTATGTTCAGAGAGAGTAAACGAGGGGACTCAACAAACAGATGTGAGTTCTGATATTGAGCTCTGTAACAAACAGGGGAAAGTACCATCACTGGTCCTGAGGGTTAAGGCTGGGGGAGAGGTTGGGGCCAGAGTCTGAGTGTCTGTGGTCAGTGGGAAAGGAGGCCCAGGACCAGTATAGTTTTGTGACCAACCTGCTGGGGTGACAGTGTAATCAATAAGCATCCTCACATACTGTATGTCCCTGTCTGTTCAAGGTGGGTCAGTGGTGTGTGGAGAGCTATGAGGACGGCGTCTTCTGTTAATCTGTTCGCTCTGTAAGCATATTGATGTTGTACCAGGCTGGACGGGAGGATAGATCTGATAGGCTTTAAAAGTCATTTTTCACAGCACCTTGCAATAATGGGTGTTAGTGTGATTGCCTGTAGTCATACAGTACACTCGTGTTGGTCAAAAGAGGTCCAAAATGACGTCACATCCAACTTTATTGATAATGGGCAACATATGGTTAAAGAAGGAAGAATGGAATGTGATGACATCGATATATCATACACTGACAGTGATTTTGATACAAGTACTAAACAAGACACATTTATGGTGGGGATATTCACAATACTAAAGCACCATTGGTTGAATGCCTCAACTTGATGTCCTTCAATATTCATTACCAGAAAGTGACAGCCTCTATCGAACAGCAGAAAGAACTCATTTTGACTCAAACCAATTTATGTCCACTCCTTAATGGCTGCAGTGTTTACTCTCTCTCTCTGATATTCTGGCCACTTAATGATGATGTACAGCCATCTAGTGGATGTAAATCAACAACACACAGACTTTAGATTAAGAGAATAGAAAAAGGCAGGCTTTAAAAGTAACTACCATGTGCCTCATCACTCTTGTATGGAAGCAAAATAACATAATTAAAAAAAAACTGTTATCTCAGTATAGGTCAAAAGTAAATTATTATATTCCAACAAGGCAGGTTTCTGATACTTTGTCTATTTGTAAAAAAAATAGCTTGTATTTGTCCATATCACAGGATAAATATTAAGAACCAAACAATACCTGACTCATGTGGTCAAAGGTTAGTTAGTTAGTTTGTTTGTTTGATAGGTTGTTGATTAGTAATGGGTTCTTCATATTCTCTATTGTTCTTGCTTGAGATATTATTTAATTTGATCAATTTTAAACAGTAACTACCACGATCTGACATAACACTCCATTATCTCTATTACATATCACAAGAAATAAAAGGAAGACATTTTTTTTGTTTTTTGTTTTTTGTTAAATTGTGAAGGATATCACACGGTGATCACTTTGATTTCTGAGGTAACTTTAATTTAATAGTTATCTGAATATAATGGAATTTAAAAATGAGATTGGATTCTTGGCTTCCCTGCATGTGACCTTACAGCACTGTCTGTTTTCATGAATCCCATAGAGAGGTTACCTAAGGATGAGCCAGGGGGAGGAACAAAGGTGAGGTAACAACACTTCAAAGTAATAGTGATTTATGTTGCAGTACTAATGTATTCATGGACCACTCTGTTGTAATCTCTGCCACTGTTAGAAATGTCAACTAGATGGAAAGTATGTCATTTACGTATCCTTTCATCAATTAAGAGTAAAACCCCGACTAATAGCTGCGTAATTAACACAGATAAAGCTGTGCCTCGGTCTTTACACCAGGGGGCAGTAAACACTCTTAACTTTAGTTTACCACACACAGTGAGAGAAGCATTACTGAATAACAACCAATAAATCAGTCAAATAGCATAGCGGCTTAATGATCGATTCCACCAATAAAAAGAAAGAGATAAGATTCCTGAGAGATAAGATTCCTGAGAGAAAAGACTACAACATGTGTTCAGATTGTGATTTGCCTTTTTTCAAGCTTATACATTTGCAGGCACACATCAGTCAATGATAAATCAAAATGCAAAGAATTCCTGAGTGTGAAAGGGCATGTATGGTGGATAAATAGGCAGAGAGTATGGCTATATGAAGAAAGGCTCTAGGTTTTTGTCGAATTGACAGAATGGAATAACCGCAAACAATGTTTCCTCAGTGCGCTACATTACATAGATAATACCTACAGAGGATAGCATATAAAGAAAACAGTTGTTTATTTGCAGATGTGTACAGTTTGTGGCATACAAAGGAAACTAATTGTGAAACTCCCACTAACATTTTCAATAGCCTATCAGTCTAGAGAAAGGAAGAAACTGTAAGTGGGACGTGTGTCCTCATGGGTGGGTTTAATGGCACATGAGACATCTCAGTAAAGAGGGCCAGTCGTTACACAGCTGTGTCAGGTCAGGTGGATGGAACATGTTATGAGCTCCAGCCTCATCGTTACGCAAAGATTTTGTTGGGATTCGCCGTTGAGGCTGTGCAGGACTGCGTCTCCAAGTCAAGTTAAACTCAATAACACCGGAAACCGTACCATTTCGCAAAACCAAACGAATGCGTCGTAATTTCTCGACCAACAGGGAGACCTGCATGGAGCAACGTAAGCTCTTTATTTTGAAGGATTAAACTACAATATCTGCTCGTCATTCACGTGTGCTTGACAGAACCGTGAACGCT